CACCTGTTGCTTCAAGCTGCAGTGGCTGGAGCTGGGACAATCCAGAGCCAGGAGTTTCTTCTGGGTCTCTCACATGGGCGTAAGGACCCAAGGACTTGAGCCATCTTTTGCTGCTTTCCCAGGCCATTAGCAGGGAACTGGATTGGAAGTGAAACAGTCGGCACAGGGATCGGCATCCATAGTTACTGCCTGCATAGTTACTCCACAGCACTGGCCCACTGGCTCCATTTTTCTACCTCCTCAGCTGCGTCTGTAGCCCACATTGAGTCGCAGCGTCACCCTGCCCCCTTGCAGTTCGGTGGGACCACGTGGCTGATTCTGGGTATTGTGAGAAGCCTTTGTAGTGGCCCGGGAAGGGTGAGGCATATGGAGCCTTCAGCCTTGGGGTAAAGCACCCCAGAGCACCCGCCAGCAGCTCAGGTCCCTGGGTGAGTGTGTGGGTTGTTCCCAGATCCAGCCTGTGCCGAACATGCAGTCATTACAAAGAGTGAACTGTTAATTTGTGTATTTGATTGGTATAGCCTGTTTCCCTCTTTCTGTTTGTTTGTGTTTATTTTATTTATTTGAAAGGGAGAGAGAGAGAGGGGTTGTATTCTTTGGTTTACTGCCAAAATGCCTGCAACAGCTATGGCTCAGCCAGGTGGAAGCTTACTCTGAGTCTTCCGCATGGGTGGCAGGGACCCAGGTACTGGAGCATCAGCAGGAAGCTGGATCAGAGAGAAGTCCAAGCCAGGGGTGTTGCTGTGGCATCAGGCAACTCACGGGTAACTTAACTGCGGTGCCAATGCCTGCCCTGGCACTTTGAACCCAGTTCAGATGATTGGCAAGTTTGTTATAATACGGAAGAACATCTTATTAGAGAATAGTTTTATTTTAACTATGTAAATGAACGCATTTTGTCCTAATGTATTACTACACAAATTTATATTTTTAGAAAGGAACATGTAGTTCCTAATTATATAGGAAAAATAATTGTTGTTTTAATGAGTCTTGACTCTAACTTTATCACTCATAAATCTTGTCTTAGCATTTGATATCCGCTTTCTAAAAAAGTTATTTCTAAAGGAAGATACACATCAAAGTCCCCTCAACACACTGTACTCATTGTGGAGCATGATACATGATCATTGGTGTCTCGGGATGAGAGGAGTGTTAGGCAAGGCCAGTCCTGTCTCCCAGGAGTGTCACAGCACACTGGAAGCCACACATTTGCTAGGAACAGTTAAGTGACAACAAAAAGTATCAGATGAGAGGGGAGCTCCTTGTGGGCAGGTGATGCTGCTGGGGAGACCAGAGTTGAAAGGCCTCTGGAAAATTCTGGATGCACAGAGGGACCTGGAAGTAATAACAGAGGCAAGGCCCGGTAGAGTAAAAGTATGAGCATTTTGAAGATTTATTTTATTATTATTATTTTTTTTATTGGAAAGGCGGATATACAGAGAGGAGAGACAGAGAGGAAGATCTTCCGTCCGATGATTCACTGCCCAAGTGAGCGCAACGGCCGATGCTATGCTGATCCGAAGCCAGGAGCCTCTTGCGGGTCTCCCACGCGGGTGCAGGTTCCCAGGGCTTTGGGCCGTCCTCGACTGCTTTCCCAGGCCACAGGCAGGGAGCTGGAAGGGAAGCGGGGCTGCCGGGATTAGAACCGGCGCCCATATGGGATCCCGGGCGTTCAAGGCGAGGACCTTAACCACTGTGCCACTGTGCTGGGCCCAAGTATGAGCATTTTGAAGGTCAGGTGGGAGTAAGAGGCTCCAGGCAGGTGGAGGAGCAGCAGGCACGCAGCACGCGCAGGAGGTCCAGCAGGCCTGGGACAGGCTGAGATGTAACATCAGAGGGGAACGCTAGGGAGTGGGATGTGTGTCCTGACCTGAGAGGCTTGCTGTGTAGAAAGACAGGGCTTGTTGTTTCAGGCCCGTGGAGTAGCCTGAGATCCAGTGTATGGCTAAGACCGGCAGCCTGGGTCCCACTCGAGGCTCTGCTACAGTCAGGAGCTGGTGGCCAGCAGCCTGGGTCCCACTCGAGGCTCTGCTACAGTCAGGAGCTGGTGGCCAGCAGCCTGGGTCCCACTCGAGGCTCTGCTACAGTCAGGAGCTGGTGGCCAGCAGCCTGGGTCCCACTCGAGGCTCTGCTACAGTCAGGAGCTGGTGGCCAGCAGCCTGGGTCCCACTCGAGGTTCTGCCATCTGGTAGCTGTGAGAAGTGCTAGGAAAGGCACGTAGGGCCTGTGCCTGGAGGACGGGCATGGTGATGATGGCAGTGGCTGCTGCTGCTTGGAGAGGACCCAGAGGACAAAGGAGGCGCCTCCACCCAGCAGGCAGTGTTCAGGATGGCTGTGTACAGGATGTTTTTTTCTAGGATGTTTTACAAGGCTATTTCTTTGGGACTAAGTTTAGACTAAATGCTTTACAAAGTTCCTCTTAGAAAACATTTCTTGAGTCACTTGTGTATGCTGGGTCGTCTGGCAGGTGGAGTCCTGGACTTTGGGAGGGGATGGAGACCAAAGGCAGAATCTCCGTCCTGTTTACCTTTTCTGTGCATTGTTACAAAGTTAGTGTCAGATTCCAGTTTGGCCCTAGAAACCCTTCCAGTAAGAGGAGACACTCTCTGTGAGCAAGGTAGGTTAAGGATTCTGGGTGCCGGATCTGCAGATAAAATGCAGCCAACACTTGGGGTGGGGAAGGGAAGCTGTAGTTGGCCCTTGTGCTTGCTTGAGTGTGTTACTGTGACATTGTAACTCATTTTTCTCCAGGTCTCCCATGCGGGTGCAGGGTCCCAAGGCTTTGGGCCATCCTTCACTGCTTTCCCAGGCCATAAGTGGGGAGCTGGAAGGGAAGTGGAGCAGTTGGGTATGAGCTGGTATCCATATGGGATCCTGGCACACGCAGGGCAAGGACCTTAGCTACCACGTGCTGGGCTCTGTGACTCATTTTAAAACCTTCTTGGAAGCAGTCATTGCAGCCCATTCTGGCTTCTCCAGTTTATGTGGTGATTTTTTTTTGTTTGTTTTTGTTTAAATCTTGGGCCCACTTCTATTTAGAAACAGGTACTGTGGGCAAAAGGTCAAGTCTCAAGTGCACAGGAAAGAGGGGAGTCAAGTCCTAGGGAAGCTTCTGTCTAGTTTCCTTTCCCTTATTTCTGCCCTGGATTACTTCGGCCAGAGCTGTGCACCATTCACCCCCAAAGCTAGAAGTCTCAAACTGTTCCAGAAGGATATTCTACCGAGGCTTAGCTGTAAGGTTTCAGAGCTGGGACAGACTTAGGAGTGCCCCTTCTGTCGTTTGGGCTTTTCAGAAGGGAACTAGGTCAAGTTTGTGGACTAAACTCTAGTTTAGTTCCTGGATGAATGTTCTGGTTTGAGTATGGATTTTAGAGTTCGACTGACTTGGGTTTCAAGCCCGCCTTGGCTGCTCCACCCTGGTGGCTTTGGGGATACGAGTAGAGACGTGTGCTGACCCTGACACTGTTCTGTTTGTCAGGAAGGACTTGTACTAAGCTCCTGCTATACATTGTATTTGTCCTGCCTGTGAATTCACGGGGTAGATTATGTCCTTGTCCCCATTTTGGAGAGGCAGGTTACAGTGGAGTCAGATAACCCAGTACTACCACATACCTATGGCCTTGGGCGAGTCCTGGCCTTCATCTTCAGCCTCAGACGATCCCTGTGCAGCCAGACTGTTGTAAGGACCGGATGAACTAACTTGCACCGGCGGTTGCCGGCACAGGGCTTCGCTGAGAGCTTGCTCTGGGTGGACTGAGGCTGAGCTGCCTTGATGTCCTGAGAGCACTTCATGAGTTGATGAGAAGAGTCAGTCCAGTTTCTGAACCTCATTATTGTCTCCCAATTAAGTTGCAGAGGCACTATTCAGTTAGGAGCAAGCATGGTGGGTCCCCCTTCTCAGAAGGTGACAACTTGAAGGGCATGCGCAGGGGAAATGGCCTCTGCTTTCTTAGGAAACAGATGTTTTGCTGTGCAAATTTCCACCCCCTCTTACCAACCTTAACATTTATTTTTATTGCTATCTACCACTTGGCCTACACCCCTACTGATTGTTTACTAAAGATCAGAATAAACATTGCCTTATTGATCACATACATATTTTTGGGCTGCTCCTCTGTAATTCCAACTCCACTGGACAGATACATTTGGTGCTTCCTTGCATTTGACGGCCCTGGTTTTGGCCAGCCCTGGCTGGGACTGCTTGGCCTTGATACCATCCTCTGGCTGGACAAGCGCATTGCTTTACCTTCACTTTAGTTCCATGAAACCGTTGCTCACTTGGAGATCTGCTTAATTGTCCTTTGAACTCACGAAGTTTGAAGTCTAGATTCAGGAGAGGATCTGTGAGTATAGGTGACTGTGGAGTCCTGGAGACAGATGGAGCAGCATCCATGTGCAATACGAGTGGTTGTCCCAACGACACACAAGAAGCCATGCAAGATTCTGGAAAGCTCTGCCGCGTGGTAGAGTTGATGTCAGTGCAGCTGTCAGTCCTTCGGCAGCACGGAGGCAAGGACACTAAAGTTTGAGAAACGCTCAAGCCCAGTTGTTCCAGTTCTTTTCGTCAGTACTAGCAGCAGCATGCAGCCTCGGTGCCCTGGCTCCTGCAGGGAGCACAGCAGTTACTCCTGGCGTTTGGGAAGTCTGGCCTTGGGCATGGAGCCTCCTCCGCCTTTGGCAGAGCTTCCAGATGCCCATGGCTTCCTCTCGCAGCAGTGTGCCAGGAGGTTCAGTGAAAATCTAAACTGCCAAGCCGCCTATCAAACTGAGACCTCTTGAGAAAGAACAAATAAGTACTCTAAGTGGTCAGCGATCCAAAGCATTTCCTGGGCTGGGTGTTTATCAAGGCTGAGCTCTGCTGCCACACACTCAGCCAGAGAAGAATCTGGGAAGGTTTCCCAGCGCGTGGGGGTGGGGAGAAGAGGAGGGTGTAAATCTTAAAGACCCAGAGAAAATATCACCCTTTTCTGTTTTATCTTTCACACAGTATCTGCTGAGATCTGCCTACTGACTTGTGAAATAGAAGCTGCTTTGAGGGAAAAGTAGGATAAATCTGCTAAAAGTGAATTTGAAAATTGCATGTAATACTTTAATTTTCTTGTGGGAACGGCATATCGGGCAAGATCGGCTTTGAAATGGATCGGCCTTACTCTCCAAGATTTAAAATGTGCATTAAGGTAGTACTGTCTTCCTGTTAACGTCATTATGTTCAGGTTGCATTGGTGGTTCTTAGCATCTGGAGTTGAAGGTCCAAAGGGGCATAGTGGGGAAGGAGAGGCCTGGGGAAGACGTGCTGGGGGCGTGAATCGGTCTCTTCTGACTCCGTGCTAGCAGGCTCTGCCGTAGGTTCAGGACCTCGATGCCTGATGCTGTCCCGACAGACTTACTAGCACGTGGAACAGCGCATCGCTGTCTTCATAGGGGTCAGGTCGAGAAAGGCTTCTTTATTTCTCAGTTTCTTTGCCTAAAAGTTTGTGTAGGTCTTTTGTACCTCCTTCTCGAGAATGAAGCCTCTGTCGATGCCAGAAGAGATTTTCCTTGGTCTGAATGGTGTCAGCTTCGCCTCCCCCGTGATGACACATCAGTGCGGATTGTACAGTTATTCCCATTCCCGCTGCACTGCTGAGCATGCGGGTTCCCGAGGTGCAGAGGCTGGCGGGGATGGTGTGAGACTGGAGGCTAAATTTAGACTCCCTGTAGAGGTTTCCTAGAACACTTCCTTAAACTCACAGACTGCAAAGCCTCAATGGAACTTCCAGTTTGGTTATTTATTCTGTTTTTTTGTTTCACCTCTGGAAATGAAGCCTGGCTGTCCGAAGGGCCGCCCTCACTCCCCGCTTCTTTGTGGGGTGGGGAGGAGTCTGCCATGGCGGACAGATCACTCACAGAACTAGCCCTAATGAGAAGGAGGGAAGATTTGGTTCCCCGGGCAGAAACGGAAAGCAGGGTCTGAGGGTGGAGGGAAGAAAGTCATTGTGAGGGCCGTGAGCGGTGATAGCAAATGACAGGACGTTTGGTCTGAGACCTGCGATGCTCCTGGACATCTCCAAAGTCAAGAAGACGTCTTTTTCTTTTTAGACATCTTCCCTCTCTTGGTTCACTTGGCATCTGGCAACAACAGGTAGATTTGGGCCAGCCCAAAGCCAGGAATCGGGAGCTGCAGCCAGGTCTGCCGCGTGGCTGGCAGGGCCCGGCCTTTGCAGGTGTGTTACCGGCAGAGGAGCAGCTGGGACAGATGCAAGCAGAGTGCTGGATTGTACTCTGCGGTGTTCTGTGCATCTTCTCCTTGCGTGCTAGGAAATAGAGAACTCCCTTGCCTGCTAGTCCTTAAGATCCCAGACTGGAATGCCCTAAAGTGGAAGGAGAGGGGATGGAGGCGTCTGGGTGGGTTTTCTGGCTCACTTGTCCACGATTGCTTGCTGGGTGAGTTAGAGTGGGTGTACCTGTTCGTTGTGTAAGCATCACGCTGTTTACATAATCTTGTCTTTGGGAAATACATAATTCTTTTTTAAGGATTTATTTATTTTTAAAGTTTTTATTGGAAAGGCAGACATACAGAAAAAAGGAGAGCCAGAGAGCCAGAGCTTCCGTCTGCTGATTTACTCCCCAAGTGACTGCAACGGCCAGAGCTGAGCCAATACAAAGGCAGGAGCCAGGAGCCAGCAGCCTCTTCTGGGTCTTCCACATGGGTGCAGGGTCCCAAGGCTTTGGGCCATCCTCAACTGCCTTTCCAGGCCACAAGCAGGGAGCTGGATGGGAAGTGGGGTTGCTGCGATTAGAACCACCACCCATATGGGATCCTGGTGCGTGCAAGGCGAGGACTTTTAACTGCTAAGGCTACAGAGCTGGGCCTGAAATACATAATTCTTTTTTTTTTTAAGATTTATTTATTTTTATTGCAAAGGCAGATGTACAGAGAGAAGAGAAGAGACAGAGAGGAAGATCTTCCGTCCAGTGATTCACTCCCCAAGTGACCGCAACAGCTGGTGCTGCGCCAATCCGAAGCCGGGAGTCGGGAGTTCCTCCAGGTCTCCCACATGGGTGCAGGGTCCCAAGGACTTGAGCCGTCCCCGATTGCTTTCCCAGGCTACAAGCAGAGAGCTGGATGGGAAGTAGAGCTGCCGGGATTAGAACCAGCGCGCGTATGGGATCCCAGTACGTTCAAGGCGAGGACTTCAACCACTATGCTATCATGCTGGGCCTGAAATACATAATTCTTTAAAATCACCCCAAATCTGTCATTGCTATATAAACACACAGAAGGTCCCTCCTGATGTATTTGCCCCCAGCATGGGTAAATAGTCTTCCCATGAGCGTTTTTCCATTTTAAAACTCCTATTTTTATTTAAACAATTACTCTTTCAAAAAGGTTAATTGGCTTTGTGGGGGAAGGGTGATGTGTACACAGTGTAACATTTAAACTGTCCAAGATGGCTTGTTTGGAAGGGAAATCTCTTCACACCCGGCCTTCGAATCTTCTTCCCCAGAGGCAGACTACTGGCAGTCATTTATTGTATACTTTTTGCAAAGATATGTTAGATAGAAATACATATTTTTTCCTGTACTCCCATCCCTGTTGAGAAATAGCACATTCCATACAGTTCTGTGCTTGCTTTTCCCACTCAGCATGTCTTGGCCAAATCTTCCCTTATCCGCAGAGAATGGGGCTGTCCCATGGCTGGTGCTGTGGGGTAGCAGGTAAAGCCATTGCCGAGGACACTGGCGTCCCATATGGATGACGGTCCACTTGCAGTCCTGCTTCCTGTGAATTCACCTGGAAAAGCAACAGAGGATGGCTCAAGTCCATGTGCCCTTGTACTCACATAGGAGACTCGGAAGAGCCTCCTGGCTCCTGGCTGGCCTGTGTGGTCATCTGGGGAGTGAGCCAGTGGACAGAGTATTTCCCTCTATCTCTGAAACTCTGCCTTTCAAACAAATCTTTTTTTTTTTTTTTTTAAAGGACTGCTACTTGTTTTTGTAAATTGTAAAATTCACACCACATAAAATTCACATTTATAACTCAATGGCTTTTAATGCATTTCCACTAAAAGGATTATTTATTAATTTTAAAGGGCAAAGTTGGATCTTCCATCCACTGGTTTACTTCCCAGATGGCTACAGTGGTTGTGGTTGAGGCCGACCAAGGCCAGGGGCCTGGAACTCCATCTGGGTGTCCCATGTGGGTGCAGGGACCCAAACACTTGGGCCATCCTCCACTGCAGGTGCATTAGCAAGAGCTTCATGGCAAGTGGAGCAGACGGGTCTGGGAAGCAGCATTTTTTTGTTGTTGTCATTTTTATTGGAAAAGCAAGTCAGATTCATGGAGAGAAGGAGATGCAGAGAGAGAGAGAGATCTTCCATCTGCTGGTTCACGCCCCCAGTGGCGGCAGCGGCCAGAGCTGCGCCGATCCAAAGCCAGGAGCCAGGAGCTCCTTGTGGGTCTCCACCATGTTGAATAGCTGAAGAGTTAGCCCTGGGACAGCATTGCTATGGGAGTGTGGAAAGCAGCAAGAGGCTTAACCCTTTGTATCATGGCACTGGGTCCCATTCCCAGTGCTACACAAACATTGCCCCTATCTAACTCTAGGAAATCTTTTCTTGACCCTAAGAAGAAACTCAGTCCTTGCTAGCGGTCATTCCCTGAGCCCTGGCCCTGGCCCTGGCATGGATCTGCTTTCTGTTTTGGACATTTCCTGCTCATGTAATAGGTGGCCTCTTGTGTCTAGTGTCTAACTTGACAGAATGTTTCTGGGTTTCATCCAGCTTGCGATACGGACTTCAATGCCAACACTTCGCTCTTTGTGGGTAGAGACGGTTTCATTGCATGGGTCTGCCAGGTTTTGTTTATACTGTCATCCATTGATTGACATTGGATTGTTTCTGGTTTTTAGCTGCTATGGATAACGGTGCTGTAAACACTCCCAGGCAGGTGTCTGTGTGCGCATATGTTTTCAGAATGCTTAGGTATATATAGCTGGGACATATGGCACTGTCTTTATATTTTGCGGAAGTGCCCAGCAGTGACTTGGTTTGACCACCCCACCCACCAGCAGTGGGGAAGGGCTTCAGGTCCTCCACACACTAGCCTAGCCAAGCGCACGCTTGTTACCTCCCATTATTGGTAAGACTTTGTCTGATTTTGGTTGTTTTTTGAGTTGTAATAGATGTGACGTTGTATCTTACACTGGTTTTGATTTGTATTTTTCTGATGATGAAGGTATTTTCATGGACTCATTGAGCCTTTTAATGTCTCCCACATTAGAAAAATGTCCATTAGTTGGATTTTTTGTGTTTTTGTTGTGTTTTGGGTTCTTTATATCCTTGGTACTGCACCCTTGTCAGTATATCGTATTTTCCAAATGTTTCCTTGCCTTCTTCGGGTTGACTTTTACCACACTACTGTCCTCTGACGCACAGTTGTTTTTAATTTGAGGGAAATCCTTAAGTTAAAAATTTGGTCAGGTGTTTCTTATGGTGTTCCATTGAGGAAATTGTTACCTAATCTAAAGTAATGACTCATTTACTCTTAACGTTTTCTTGTGGATGTTATTAATTTTTTTAGGTCTTAAATTTTAATCTTGGATCCATTGGAATTAATTTGCATGCCCATATGTGAGACAAAGGGGGCACAGCTTTGTGCGTGTGAGTATCTAGCTGCCAGCACCATTTTTAAAAAACACTTACTTGTTGAAAAAACTTTTCTCGTCAAGTGGTCCTGGCACCAGTTTGTAATTGTCGGCCATCAATACATAGCATTGTTTCTAGACTCGCAACTGTGTTATGACAGTCTGTTTCTCTTTATGCCATTACATCATTCTTTGTAGAAGCAAAATGAATGAATGTTCCCATTTTGTCGTATTTCAGGAATGTTTTGGCTGCTTGTTTTGAGGTCTCTTAATCCCATATGAATTTTAGGATGTCCATTTCTCTAAGAAAGAAAGTTTGGATTTTGGTAAAATTTGCTTTGATTGAACTTATCAGTTTGGAGACCTGTTGCCACCTGATAGTAAGCTTTACAATCCATGAACATGAGATGTTCTTGTTTTGTTACATCTTTCTTTCTTTAAAGAATGGCATTTTTAGCATCCAAGTCTGGTTCTTCTTTAGTTAACTTCATTGCTGATTTTTTTTTTTCCTGTGATAATATAGAAAGTGTATCTTAGCTTCTTTGTGGGGTCTGGTGGTAGGGTTGATGTTGTGGTCTGCCAGCCGCCGAGCTCGTTCTTTGGCTCGAACGTTCTTATAGGACTTTCTGTGCATAGAACTATGCCATGTTTGACTAGGGTAGTTTTGCTTCTTCCTTCCCAATGCACATGCCTTTGACTTGGCAAGGACAGACAGGTTACTTTTGTTGCTGTTATGAATGGGAAAACCCTCAGTCTTTTGCCAGTAAAAATGATATTAGCTGTGGGTTTTTCATTAGTGTTCTGTAGCTGAGGTGTTCTATTCCTAGGTGGTCAAATGTTTTGTCTTGCACCAATTCAGATGATATTATAATGTTTCCCTCCTTATCCTATTACTTTGACATATTACATGGATGGATTTTTGTGTATTAATTTCTTTCATTAATTCCTAGGACAAATCCCCTAGTCACAGCCCATAATCCTTTCAACATGCTGCCGCATTCAATTTGTTAGTATTTCATCGAGGACTGTTAGCATTTGTATTTATAAGGGATGTTGCTCTGTGATATCATTGCATTATTGACATCACAGAATCAGTTAAGAATCCGTTCTTCCTCTTCTATTTTTGGAAGAATTTATGAAGGATTTTTGTTTTCAAAAAAAAAAAAAAACTCGATAAAGCTTTCCAGGGAAGCGGTCTGGTGTTGAAGTTTTTTGTTTGTAGAAGTTTCTGATCGTTGAATCGGTCTCTTGTTGATCTGCTCAGGTTGGCAGCTTCATGAGTCAGCTCTGATGGCGTACGTTTCTAAAGCCTTCCTGTCTCTCACCTAGGTCGCCTACTATGTTTGGCTACAACTAGGCCTAGTATTTGCTCATATTCATTTTTCATTTTATGTGATCAGTAATGATGCCACCATTTTCTCTGTGTATTTTAGTGATTTGAATCCTCTCTCTCTCTCTCTCTGTCTGTCTCTTTCTTGTTCTCTCTCTTTTTTTCCCTTTGTGGTCAGGTTAGTAAAGGTCGTTGATGCAAATCCAAAATCCAGATAAGATTTGTTGATATCTTTCCAGAACCAACTTGTGGATTTGTTGGTCTTCTTAATCTCTTACTTAATTTTTATTGTTTCCTTCTTTTTGCTTGCTTTGAGCTTAATTTGTTCTTTTTCTAATTCTTTTAGGTAGAGAATTGGGTTAATGATTTGAGATCTCTGTCCTTTTAGTAATGCAGGCATTTGTAGCTGTGATTTTTCCTCTCTGCACTGCTTTTGCTACATCTAATATGTTTTTTATGTGTTTTTTTTTAAGATTTGTTTCATTTTTATTACAAAGTCAGATATGTAGAGAGGAGGAGAGACAGAGAGGAAGATCTTCCGTCCAATGATTCATTCCCTAAGTGAGCGCAATGGCCGATGCCATGCCGATCCGAAGCCAGGAGCCAGGAACTTCCTCCAGGTCTCCCACGTGGATGCACGGTGCCAAAGCATTGGGCCATCCTTGACTGCTTTCCCAGGCCACAAGCAGGGAGCTGGATGGGAAGTGGGGCTGCCGGGATTAGAACTGGTGCCCGCATGGGATCCTGGCGCGTTCAAGGCGAGGACTTTAGCCTCTAGGCCACGCCGCTGGACCCTAAAATAATTTTTTAATGATTTCATTTTGGATTACAGTTTACATCTTAGTTTGTAACAATGTATTCAACAACATTAGCCTAGTTTCAACAGTGTGTACAAACTTGGCTTCTTTGTGTGTCCAGTCCTTTATCTTGTAATTGTTACAAATTACACCTTTATATATGGTGAGCTTGTCACATGGGTTTATGATAATTTTAGACAGTTGTCTATTATATATTTTAAAAAGAAGAATTACAAGCAACACACTTTTAAAACAAGTAAGCTCAGTCCCGGTGCTATAGCCTAGTTGCTGAAGTCCTCGCTGTGCACACACCAAGATCCCGTAAGGGCGCCATTTCTAATGCCAGTGACTCCGCTTTCCATCCAGCTCCCTGCCTGTGGCCTGGGAAAGCAGTCGAGGACGGCCCAAAGCCTTAGGACCCTGCACCCACGTGGGAGACCTAGAGGAGGCTCCTGACTCCTGGCTTTGAATCAGTATAGCTGCGGCCATTGTGGCTGCTTGGGGAGTGAATCAGCAGATGGAAGAAGATCTTCCTCTCTGTCTCTCTGTATATCTGACTTTCTAATAAAATCTTAAAACGAAAAAGGTATCTTTTATTTCTTTCTGTGGATGAAGTTATTGTCTAGCATCCTTTGTTTTGGCTCAGTAGACTTCCTTTCACAATCTTTGTAGGTCTGCCATCTACAAACCCCATCCCCTCCTTTTTTTCTTTTTTTTTTTTTTGGTCTTATAATATCTTAATTTCTCTTTTAGTTTTTTTAAGATTTATTCTATTTTATTGCAAAGTCAGATATACAGGGAAAAGGAAAGACAGAGAGGAAGATCTGCCATCCAATGATTCACTCCCTAAGCAGACGCAATAGCCAGAGGCTGAGCTGATCTGAAGCTAGGAGCCAGGAGCTTCTTCCAGGTCTCCCACGCGGGTGCAGGGTCCCAAGGCTTTGGGCCGTCCTCGACTGCTTTCCCAGGCCACAGGCAGGGAGCTGGATGGGAAGCGGGGCTGTTGGGATTAGAACTAGTGCCCATATGGGATTATGGTGCATTCCAGGTGAGGATTTTGGCCACTAGTCTGCCACGCCTGGCCCTCTCCTTTAGTTTTAAAGAATAGTTGTGCCACTACTGATAGTTTTTGTTATATTTTGTTTTTTGACTGGTAATTTGAATATATCATCGCACTGCCTCTGGCTTCTAGAACTTCTGATAAGATGTCAGATGGGAATCCTTTTCTTAAAGATATATTGATTTTTATCTTAGAGGCAGAGTTACACAGCGAGATATATTGACCGAGAACAGTCTTCCATGTGCTGGTTCACTGCCCACATGGCCTCATGATCTGGGACTGGGCCAGGTTTCTTCCACTGCAAGGGCCCAGGAGCTGTGCCAGCCTGCTTTGTTTCCTAAGACACACCAACAGGGAGCTGGATCCCAAGTGCAGCAGCCAGGACACAACTGGTACCCGTGTGCGATGGCTGTTGCCATGGGTGGCTGCTTAGCTGCCCAACCACAGTGCTGACCCCAGGTGTGAATTGTATTGTGGACCCCCTTTGTATGGTTCAGTGCTTTTTTTTGAAAAGGTTTCTGTCATGAGTTAATTATGTGTTCCTGTATAAATCTCTTCGGAGTTAATTCCACTTGGAGTACGTTGACATTCTAAGATGCGTAAAATTCATGTTTGTTTTTTTTTTTTAATGTTAGGGACATTTTCAGTTTTTTTCGGTTATTTCTTTAAATATTCTTTGTTCTTTATGTCTTCCTTCTCATTCTGGAATTTCCACTCTACCTGTATTTGTACCTGGATGGTATTCCCCAGGGACCTTGGGCTTTTTTTTTTTTTTTTAACCACCGTTTTTTCTTTCTGTTAGTCAAGCTAGATATATCACGTGACTTTCCCCTTAGGTTTGTTGATGCTTGTCTGCTCAACTCCCTCTCCAGTGAATTTTCTTCATTTGTTTATTGTGCTTTTCAACCAAAGAACTTGCAGTGGATTGCTTTCTATAATTTCCGTTTATGGAGATTCTGCATTTGGTGAGACACTGCCTCCCACCCTCTTGCTCAGTGGTCCCCTAATGAATCATCCACGATTTATGTAAGTGTCTTAACCACCGAGACTTCTCGTCTTTGTAGACGGGCTGTTGTGTTGGGGCATGCCTTCAGCACTCAGCAAGGCACTTTACAACCCTTGCTGCCTGCAGGAACCTGTGGGCCAGGCGGAGGTGAGAGTGCAGGGCCTTCCCAGGACTAAGAGCCTGCCCGTGGTGGCCTGCTTGCTCCTGGAATACACAGAAGCTCATCAGCTACCACATCCCCTGAAATGTCTCAGTCATCATATCGTTTGTCCCAAGGATTGTCCCTTGCTCTTAGCCGATAACAACTAGTATCATTTGCTTGTAAATGTTTTCTGCAAACTCTTTCCCTCTGGGTGTCCATCTCAGTCCTGGGAGTTGTAACTTAGGCAGAAGAAAGGCAGGCTGCCTGAGCCAGCTCCTTAGGGAGCTACCAGACAGTTCCTTCCCGAGATCCGTCAGGCCCGCTACTGCCAGGTGCCTCTGCTGGTAATGCGAGCTGTTTTGTTCAGAATGACGAGTTGAGTAGGACGGGCAGATGAAGTACCTCTGAACAGTGGTTGCTAACATTTAGTTCTTTATATTATTGATTGTTTCCTTGCTTGCAGTAAGCTTTTGATTATTTTCCAGAATCCTGAAAAAAAAAGTTCTGACAGTTTTTCTTTTTTAGTTTTTAGTAGATGGACCAGCTTTGGGGGGTTCTTTTCTCTGACACTTTCCATCTCACTATTTTGTTTTGTTTCTGTGGGTTTTTTTGTTTATTTATTTGACTTTTTATTTGAAAGGCAGAGTTACAGAGGAGAGAGAGAGGTCTTCTATCTGCTGGTTCACTCCCCAGATGGCTGCATTGGCTGGGGCTTGGTCTCTAACCTCCTTTGGGTCCTGCATGTGGGTTCAGGGGCACAAGCAATTGGGCCATCTTCTGTGACCTTCCCAGGCACATTAGAATTGAACTGAATGAGAATGGAGCAGCCAAGACTTGAACTGTTGTCTGCATGGGATGCTGGCATCACAGCTGGTTGCCTTACTCGCTGTACCACGACACAGGTCCCAAAGGGCTTTTCTCTTACAATTGTAGATAAACATGTCTTCATGAATTGATTATTTTGTTTTCCTATAAATTGCCCTTTTATATCATTTGTTCCCTTAATTAGTTTATTTTGCTGTTACCTCTTGACTAGGTACTGCATG